TAGAGACCGAATATACCTCAAATGACAAGAAGAAGATGCAACTAAATGCAAGGGCCATCAACTTTCTATATTGTGCCGTGAACCCGGATGACTATCGGAAAATCTCAAGGTGCAAGACGGCCAATGAGATGTGGAACAAATTAGAGGTCACATATGAAGGAACAAGTCAAGTGAAGGACTCAAAGATCGACTTACTCACCCATGAGTATGAGCTTTTCATGATGATGGAAAATGAAACAATAGATGGCATGTTCGAGAGATTTTCAACTATCGTCTCAAATTTGGATACACTTGGGAAGCATTATGAGAATCATGTTCTCGTTCGAAAAATCCTTCGAAGTCTCACATCGGAATGGAAGTCTACGGTCAATCCTATCAAAGAAGGCCGAGATTACAATACATTGACATATGACGCACTTCGAGGTAAATTACTCACTTATGAAATGTCTAACTTTTCTAGTGCAGCGGAGATCAAAAGGGATCAAAATCTATCATTCAAAGGAGTTGCACTCAAAGCTTCATCGTCAAAATATGTCAAGACAAGCGGCTCTAAAGAAAGTGACATTCTCGAGTTATTTAATGACTTCTTGCAAAATGAGCTTGAGCAATTCAATGATAGTACGAAGCCTACTTGCTATGGATGTGGAGAGCGTGGACATATCAAGGGTCATTGCCCTAATCAAAAATTCAAGAAGTCCAAACGCCGAAAGCAATCCAACTCTATCTCCTCTTCCTCATCCGATGATGAAGTAGCCATTTGTCTTATGGCTCAAAGTGAATCCGAAGAGGTAAGTTCTTCTAACGATCCTTTTAGTTTTGAAGAACTACAAGAAGCATTTGGTGATTTATTTAAAGAATTCAAGAAAGTCTCTTCTATTGCCAAAGATTTAGAATATAAAATCAACCTTTTGCAAAAGAAAAATAATATTTTGCAAAAAGAAATTGATTCCCTCAAAATTGGAAATAAGACTTTTGAGGAGAATAATTTGAAATTAAATGATTCACCATGTTCTTCATGTAAGTCTTCTAGTCTTGAGATAGAAGCGCTTAAGAACGAGGTAGACGATTTGAAATTAGGTATGAAGAAAGTTGAAAATGAATTTAGACCAAAATCTACCTCTATGATTAAATACTATAGATCATCTAGAAATAAACTAAGTCATTCTAGGAATTCTAAGTTTGATATACAACCTAGAAAGCACATCACACGTCCTAGAAACATGAACAATCCTAGTGTTAGGTGTCATTATTGTAATAAAGTAGGACACATCACACCAGTTTGTTACACTAAGTATATGCACTTGCTTCTAAGTCAAGATAATGTGATGCATCGTTCATATGATTTTTATTATTGCCAAAACACCCTTGGACCCAAAAGGCATTGGGTACCAAGATTTGGTTCGTAGATCTATTAAGGAAGGTGTGCTTGAACACTTCGACTTGAGTTGAAGTAGATGCGCCAAGCACATAATTGGGTGAAGCATCAATTAAGGGGGAAGTTGATTCACTTTATTAATTCCAACTAATGTTGATTTATATTTTAGTTGGACAATGTGATCTTATTCGTTTGTTTGATATCTATTTGCATGAGCATATATCTTTTAGCCCATCTCTTTTTGATAATGTCAAAAGGGGGAAGATGATGTAGATATGCATATATTCATGGGGAATTGTATTTGTGCATATCTTAATGGGGAAGATATTATAGATTTGTTTGTCTTTGTTTGATTTATGATGCAATACTTGAGGGGGAACTAGCCTTGTATGATGCATATCTCCTAATGGGTTTGTCATTATCAAAAAGGGGGAAATTGTTGGACAATGTGCTATTATGAATATATATTTTTGCAATGTCCTTTGCCCATTGTCTTTTAGGTTTTGATAATGACAAAAAGGGTGACAAAACATCATCATCATATTGTGCATCAAGGCTAAGAATCAAAGCTACAAGAAGTTTATATTCGTCCGTGAAGAAGGGACTTGAGCATCAGTGGAAGGAACAAGGCCGAAGAGGTTGTTTCCTTAGTTGGGTAGTGTTTTAGGTCTTAGATTTTGTGTTAAAGAGTATGGCATTTCTAAGATTCATTCCCTTATCGTCCTACCTTTAAAACACATTTTTTTTCAGCAAACTGTTCGAATAAATTGAAAACTATTCGAATAAATCCCTGAACTTCTATTTCTGACTTAGTTGGATAAATCCAGAACTAGTTGAATAAGTCTTGGTTTTTCAATCTGATTTATTCGAATAAATCACAATTTATTCGAATAAGAACTGTTTTTTCAAGCCGCGCGATTGATCCAAACTATTCGAATAGTTCTTAAGTTATTCGAATAAGTCGACAGTTTCAACTACCAAACGGCTAGTGTTTTGAATGATTTTCATCCCTATCCACTCCCTAACTTCTACAAACCTCCTACTTTCGTGATTATCTTCATTAGAGCACTAAGAACACTTTGAAAAACATATCCTTTGAATATCTTAAGAGATTCTACTCAATCCCCTCCTTATATCCAAGCAAGGCAATTGTTTTGATTGCTAAATCATTTCTTGCTTGAGTTTTTCCTCANGTTGCGGTTTGTTTTCTTACTTTATTGTAAGGGATTTGTATTCTTGGTGTTGGGATTACAACAAGTGGTAGAAATCCTAACGATTTGTGAAATCAAACGTTAGGTGGAAGAAATCCTGAGTTTTGTGAAATCAAAACTTCGGTGGTAAGATAAGGGGCTTGTAAAATCAAGTTCTCGAGTTGTATTCGGATTGTCAAACTCCGTTAAGTTTGACGGGTTAGTGAAGGCCTGGGCACGATTGCTTCGGGGACTGGATGTAGGCATTAGGCCGAACCAGTATATATCGTGTGTGCATTGCTCTTATCCTTCACTTTATTTTGTTTGTGGTGCATTGATTTTATTGAATATTCGTGAAGAACGTTTCCGCGCAAAAAACTGGTCTTTTGGGCAACACCTCTATTCACCCCCCTCTAGAGGTGTGCGAGGCGTCTAACAGTTTTTATTAGAAATAATTCCGAGAAATATTTCTTATGTTTTAGGATTTTGTTGGTACTACCATTATCTACCAAACATTCATCACCAATAAGAGCCCTGATGGAGCTTATGTTCATATTTCTAGACTGTGGAGATCGGAAATTTGGAGGAGAAGATTATCACGGTTTTTTTATTTAAAAAAACTCAATTCATTCTTTTCTCTTGAAGATTTGTAGATTCTACTTTCTTGGTTTCCAATTGTTGGTCACTTGGTCTTGTGCCGCTATTGCGCCACTCTGATCTATCGTACCAAAACAACGGCTTTAGGAGCTAGATGAAAAACAATTTGTGAATCGGCAGAGAGAAAAAAATCAGGACTTGAGAGCTTTCATGCTGATAACGTGTTGCAAACTCTGGTACTTTATTAATGATAGGTTGGGTATTTTTACATACATGTGAGGAGGTACACTGTAGATAAATAAAAAAACAAGATTTTCTAAAATAAGAGTAATATATCTGTCATATTTAACAATAATGAAAATATTGTGAAACGGGTACAAAATATGGATATGTTTTTTTTCCTTAATGAAGAAAAAATATCTTACCTTAGGGATACGGGATACCCAAATAAGATATGTTGGGCCAACGGCTTTGTATCGTGAATCTCTCAAATGAAGGTCACACTTTCAAAAAAAAAAAATCACCCTAAGTAACACTAAAATATAAAGGAAGTATAACAATAGAAGCTTTATGTATTGTGAAATGTCCATATACATTGACATATTACCACAATGCAAATTCCTATTTTGAGGATAAAAACATGGAGTTCTTATTTTGAAGCTTTCTCTATGTTTTATTCTTATCCAGAGTGATTTCTTTTTCCAAACCTCAGTGAGGGAAATAATTTTAAGTTAAAAATGTATAAACAGATACTACATTGTAATAGATTAATTAATGTTTAAAAAAAGGATTGAACTTAAAAATATAAAACAATGAATTAAGCCCAACAGTGGATACCCAGGTATGTTTTTGGTCTTTGTTTCGGTCTGATGTATAACCCCAAAACAAGTTGGGCTTTTTGTGTCAATCATATGATTTAGCTTGGCCAAAATAAAAACAAATTGATGAAGACAAATAGTCTCTGAATGTGGTGGGCTTGTAGTGGCCTACCTTTTAGCTACTCCGTATATTACTCCCTAGTTTAAAAATAATCTTTCTCTTTTGGTTTTACACACAAATTAAATAAAAGTAAAAAAAATGGTTTGAATTTTCATCTTTGTGGTTTAAAGAAAAAAATATTTGTCAAAAAAGAAACAAAAAGAAAGTCATAAGTTATGCACGAATAAGTAAAGAAAGTGGACAGATAAATTATACGGAGTAAATGGAGTACTAACGTTTATCAGTGCTTTGATGTTAGATTTTGATGTCATATTATGACACTAAGTCACTTTGATACATTGATTATAAATATACTTTCTTCGTCTCAGAAAACTTTTCTCCTTTTTTTTTCATCCGTCCCAAAAAATACTTATCATATTTATTAAAAAGTCAATTTTATCCCTTACTTTTTCATACCCTACCTATCACATCATACCTTTTTATTAATAATCTATCCATCAAATCATACTTTTACCCATCACATCAAAAGACATTTTTGGAAATTCAATACCAAAATATACTCCCCTTAAATCCTTCTTCAAAATCAAAACTTCCATGTTTTCTGGGACGGAGGGAGTGTATTGTTTCCCATTCCAAATCTTTAGTAAACCCTTAATCAGCCTAACTCTAATGCACCCCGCAACCCAACTAACTGCATCTCTAACATTTGTTGAATTTGACATAAAAATTCTGATTTCAAAGTCAACAAAATTTGAAAATGGAATTAGTGGGGTGCTAGATTCATTAGAGTCGGACTGAATTAAGAGTTCTCGGAGAAATTAAGAGATAATAAAAATAATCAATTTTTAGATGAAATACTATATCTTGTCTAGAAAAAAATAAAATTCAATCTTTTCTGTAACCGTCTCGTCTCGTTGAGTGTGAGGAAACTTGGGGTGGTGGCTAAGCAAGTGCTTCTAAAAATAGCACTAAATTCCTATCGTATTAGAATACGTATCTTTCACAAGATTTCTCGGGGCCACGCAGGGAGTATGTGTCAACCCGTCGTCCGTACCACGACGATTCATGTTCAATAAAAATAAAATTGAACACTTCCATTTTAAATTTCCCCTGCAATCTCAGCGGATCTCTCTGGGGAGGATGAACATGATGAACCCCTAAACCTTCTTCA